TTCAGAATTTTTTCAACATACTATACTATGACATTTATACATACTATACTATATTTATATCATACTATACTTTGACATTTTTTTATCATATTGAAATATATACATTTTTTTGCCGACTGAAATCTGAAATTTTTAACATACTATACTATGACATTTTATCATACTATACTATGACATAATTTTTCATACTAAACTATGAATTTTTATTTCATGCCTATTTTTGAAAATTTTAACATACTATACTATGACGATTTTTCATCATATTCAAATATTATTTTTATGCCGACTAAAATTTGAAATTTTGAACATACTATACTGACATTTTTATCATACTATACTATGACATCATTTTCCGTCTAAACTATAAATTTTTATTTCATACCTATTTTCAAAAATTTAACATACCATACTATGACGTTATTTACATACTTTACTATGACATTTTTATCATACTATACTATGACGCTTTTTTCTATCATATTAATATGTAATTTTTTTGCATACTCAAATTTGAAATTTTAAACATACTATACTATGACATAATTTTTCAAACTTAACTATGAATTTTTATTTCAAGCCTATTTTCGAAATTTTTAACATACAATACTATGACATTTTCAGCGTACTATACTATGGCATAATTTTTCATACTAAACTATGAATTTTTATTTGTGCCTATTTTTGAAATTTTTAACATACTATACTATGACATTTATATCATACTATACTATGACATAATTTTTCATACTAAACTATGAATTTTTATTTCAAACCTATTCTGAAATTTTTAACATACTATACTATGATGTTCTTTATCATATTGAAATATAAATTTTTTGCATACTAAAATTTGAAAATTTTAACATACTTTACTATGACTTTTTTATCATACTATACTATGACATAATTTTTCAAACTAAACTATGGATTTTTATTTCATGCCTATTTTTGAAAATTTTAACAAACTATACTATGACATTTTTATCATACTATTCTATAACATAATTTTTCATACGAAACTATGAATTTTTATTTCAAGCCTATTTTCGAAATTTTTAACATACTATACTATGACATTTATATCATACTATACTATGACATAATTTTTCATACTAAACTATGAATTTTTATTTCATGCCTATTTTTAAAATTTTAACATACTATACTATGACATTTTTATCATACTATACTATGATGTTTTTTATCATATTAAAATATAAATTTTTTGCATTTTTAAATTTGAAATTTTTAACATACTATACTATGAAATTTTCAGCGTTCTATACTATGACATAATTTTTCATACGAAACTATGAATTTTTATTTCATGCCTATTTTTGAATTTTTTAACATACTATACTATGACATTTTTATCATACTATACTATGACATAATTTTTCATACTTAACTATGAATTTTTATTTCGTGCCTATTTTTGAAAATTTTAACATACTATACTATGACATTTATATCATACTATACTATGACATAATTTTTCATACTAAACTATGAATTTTTATTTCATGCCTATTTTTGAAAATTTTAACATAGTATACTATGACATTTATATCATACTATACTATGACATAATTTTTCATACTAAACTATGAATTTTTATTTCACACCTATTCTGAAATTTTTAACTTTCTATACTATGATGTTCTTTATCATATTGAAATATAAATTTTTTGCATACTAAAATTTGAAAATTTTAACATACTTAACTATGACATTTTTATCATACTATATTATGACATAATTTTTCATACTAAACTATGACATTTATTTCATGCCTTTTTTTGAAAATTTTAACAAACTATTCTATGACATTTTTATCATACTATTCTATAACATAATTTTTCATACGAAACCATGAATTTTTATTTCAAGCCTATTTTCGAAATTTTTAACATACTATACTATGACATTTTCAGCGTACTATACTATGACATAATTTTTCATACTGGACTATGAATTTTTATTTCATGCCTATTTTTGAAATTTTAACATACTATACTATGACATTTTTATCATACTATACTATGATGTTTTTTATCATATTAAAATATAAATCTTTTGCATTTTTAAATTTGAAATTTTTAACAAACTATACTATGAAATTTTCAGCGTTCTATACTATGACATAATTTTTCATACGAAACTATGAATTTTTATTTCATGCCTATTTTTGAAATTTTTACATACTATACTATGACATTTTTATCATACTATACTATGACATAATTTTTCATACTAAACTATGAATTTTAATTTCGTTCCTATTTTTGAAATTTTTAACATACTATACTATGACATTTATATCATACTATACTATGACATAATTTTTCATACTAAACTATTAATTTTTATTTCAAACCTATTCTGAAATTTTTAACATGCTATACTATGATGTTCTTTATCATATTGAAATATAAATTTTTTGCATACTAAAATTTGAAAATTTTAACATACTATACTATGACATTTTTATCATACTATACTATGACATAATTTTTCATACTAAACTATGAATTTTTATTTCATGCCTATTTTTGAAAATTTTAACATACTATACCACAACATTTTTATCATACTATACTATGACATTTTTCATCATATTAAAATATTATTTTTATGCCGACTAAAATTAGAAATTTTGAACATACTATACTGACATTTTTATCATACTATACTATGACATAATTTTCCTTCCAAACTATGAATTTTTATTTCATACCTTTTTTCAAAAAATTTAACATACTATACTATGACATTATTTATATACTATACAATGACATTTATATCATACTATATTATGACGATTTTTTCTATCATAATAAAATATAAATTTTTTTGCTTACTAAAATTTCAATTTTTATCATACTATACAATGACATTTTTATCATACTATACTAATACGCTTTTTTCTATCAAATTAAAATATAATTTTTTTTGCATACTAAAATTTGAAACTTTTAACATACTATACTGACATTTTCACCGTACTATACTATGACATAGTTTTTCATACTAAACAATGACTTTTTATTTCAAACCTATTTTCAAAATTTTTAACATACCTTACTATGACATTTATATTATTCTATACTATCACATTTTTATCATACTAAACTATGAATTTTTATTTCATGCCTTTTTTTGAAAATTGTAACATACTATACTATGACGATTTTTCATCATATTTAAATATAATTTTTGTGCCGACTAAAATTTTAAATTTTGAACATACTATATACTATGACGTTTTTTTTCTATCATATATAAATATATATTTTTTTGCATACTAGAATTTTAAATTTTTATCATACTGTACTATGACATTTTTGTCATACTATACTATGATGTTTTTTTATCATATTCAAATAAATTTTTTGCATACTAAACTTTGTTAATTTTAACATACTATACTATGACATTTTTAACATACTATATTATGACATAATCTTTTATACCTACCTAGGAATTATTTTTCAAACCTATTTTTGACATTTTTAACATACTATACCATGACATTTATATCATGCTGTTCAATGATGTGTTATGTGTTATGACATAATTTTTTATACATATATTTAGTAAATTTGTTCAGAGTTATAAAGTTTATGCTGTATTGTATGATTAAAAAATTGTTTTACCATAGAAAAGGATATAAAGCATCATAACAAAGGAAAAAACTAGGCAGAGTACAGAGTGGAAGATGTAAAGTTTTATTCCCTCTCACAGGCGTTGGTCCTCGGGAACAACAGAAGAATCTCTAATCAGATGCAGTTTTTAGCTCATGGGATCATAAAGAAGAACAGTGTAAACATCAGAGCTCTGTAAACAAAACCAAAATAAAAACGGAGTTTCACAGTTTGATGACAGACAGAAAAGTAACAAACATGATGAAATACAAACAACTTTTTAACCTTAACTATTTGAAAAAGATCAAACTTACAGTATCAGTTCACAACACTAACTCTTACATGAGCTGTCTGAAAGTCGATCTTTGACCAAAGTTTGACATTTAATTTGAACAGCAAAGAGCCTGTGTGATGAAGCCAACAGAGCTAATGCATCACACTCTAACAAAGCTATGAACATTTTTAATCAGTGAAAACATGACTGTGAGGCTTCCTGATGATCAAAATACAACAGGTGAAAATATGGTGGAAATAAATTTAGATTTTTGAAGCCTGGAAAAGCTATAAAGAGGAAATAAAGGAGTATTTCGCTGTTTGTTCCTCAGCGAAATTTTAAGGTCACTGTGACCTGAAATCATGTTTCAGCTCATCATTTTTGTTGAATTTGGTTTTAAGTGAGAAAAAGAGAGAATAAATCTTATTTACTAAATACCAAATCAAAGTAATGCCTTAATGATCCTGTTCGTAGGTTTAATCAGACCTTCAGAAAACAAACTGAACATAGTTGCTGAAGGGTGAAAGCTGTATTCATGAACAAACCTTTAGGAGTAAAAGTTCACAGTTTAAGAGTTAAAACAGTAACAAACAAAAAAAAAAAACAGTGAGAAATGGCCAAAACCACTGATATCAACACGGACAAAGTTCACAGAGGAAAGGCACTCAAAGTTTAGCAGGTTGTACCAGAACCTGACGCCCCAAAACAGTCCGACTCCAACTCTCTGCTCACGTCAGACCCAGAAACTCTGAAGACAAAAAAAAACAGAAATTTTTATTTATTTCTACAGTATCAAGGATCTTTACGATCAAATTCAGAGAAATTTCTTCAAGTCAAACTGTGATTCCATGAATACCACTGAGCAAAGGTAGACAGGAAGCCAGAAATACTAAAAATAACACCAGGATACTCTTTAGTATCCGACAAAGACTTTCAAGACCAGCATCTGTTCATCTGAAAAAAATGAAAGCATATTCACAGAAAACCTGTAAACAGACTTACATCAAACTCTGTCCATGCCTCACAGGTAACACAGCTGCTGAAACTCTGGGTTAAAATGTTCAAGGGCTACTTACCCGGATTTATTCAGACGTTGTCATCTTTTTTGAGGGTTTCTTTTTCTGGAATTTGAAAGAAGGATAAACATAATAATGCTACTTTTACACACTGTAACCATACTATACTATTATACTTGTATCATACTATACTATCATTTTTGACATAATATACCATGACATTGAAAACATACTAACAATGATAGTATTATCACAATAAACTATAATGTTTTAATCAGACTATACTATGACATTATTTTCTATACTAAAATAAGAATTTTATTTCATACTGATTTTAGACATTTTTAACATACTATACCATGACATTTTTATCATACTATACTATGACATTTTTTTCTATATGAAATTTTTTTTTTTCATTCGAAAAAACCTGAAATTTTGAACATACTATACAATTACATTTTAATCATACAATACTATGACATTATTTTTTTTTAAAATAAGGAATTTTTTTTTGTCAGATTATACTGACGTAATTTTTCATACAAAACTAGGAATTTTTTTTCAAACCTTTTTTCGAAATTTTTATCATACTATACTTTGACATTTTTTTTTGAAAAAAAATCTTCATACAAAAATGTGGTGTTTTTAACATACCATACTATGACATTTTTATCAGGATATAATATAACATTATTTTTCATACTAAACTAGGATTTTTTTTCAAAATTTAGAACATACTATAGTATGACATTTTAATCATACTATACTATGACATTATTTTTTTTTACAAAATAAGTAAATTTTTTTCATACTATACTGTGACACTTTTTTCTATAAGAAAATCTGAAATTTTTTTTCATACTATACTGTGACATTTTTTTCTTCACGAAAATATGAAAAAAAAAATCATACTAAAATTTGGAATTTTTAACATACTATACTATGACATTTTTATCATGCTATCCTATTTTTTTCATCAAACTGTACTTTTCCTTTTTTTCATATACACTGATATTTTTTTCAAACTATACTTTGACATGTAACTCATACTATCCTATGATTATTTTTTTTAAACTATACCGACATTATTTCGATACTTTTTTTTAAGTCCTTTTTTTGCAGGGACTTCTTGAATCACCTTCAATGTTCCTGTGGTCTTCTCTCCTCCAGCCTTCATCATCGTCATCATGATCATCTCCTTCTTCTTTTTCTTCTTCTTCTTCTCGTTTAGAACTGGAGTTGAAACATTTTCAGAAAGTTTAGCTGCAGCCCTCTTGTCCTCCGTCTTCACCAATCCTTTCTTCTTTTTCTTCTCTTTCTTTGGCGGGTCGTTTTCTTTGGAGGAACTCTCTTCTTGTTCGGAGTTTGTTTTCATCTTTTTCTTCTTCGTTGGTGTCTCACCCTCCTGGGCCGGATCAGGAGGTCTTTTAGCAGGTTTCTGTTGAGCTGTCTCTGCAGCATCGTGGTTCTGTTTTTGTCTGGAAAAAATTTAAAGTTCATTATTCTCAGAAATAATAAAAAAACAGGTTGTGTGTGTGTTTAATGTTCTTCCTACATATTCTACCCTGTCAGTAAAATCATTATCAGTTTAAAGTTACTTTGTACAACACCAATATGTCATTTTTGTTCATTATCTAACTATACAATAACGTCCTTTATTTTAATTTATTTCAAAGTATATTTGGACCACTAGATGGCATTGTTTACCTCTACACTATGTTTCAACATAGAATAATTCTGCAAATCATCCGCATTTTGAGTTAGATTTTTTCCACAGTGGATATGAAAATGCATCAAATGAATCAGTTGAGACATTTCAAAGAAAACTGTTATTGACCTGTAGGGGGCAGTGCAAAGCAGGGAACCCTCCATTCGACGTTGTCCAATATCAATTTTTTTAAGCTGATTTACCATAAATTCCACAGTAGATATGAACGTGTGGGGCGTCATTGTAAAGGCTGAGAGGTCTAGTTTCTGAATCAGTTGAGACATTTCACAGAAAAAAAATGGTTCATAGTGATCGTGGAATTTAAGAAAAATCAGATATCGGACGATGTCGAATGCAGAGTTCCCTGCTTTCAAGCCCCCCCTACTGGCCAAAAATGGCTTTCCATAAAATGTCCAAATTAATTCAGAAACTAGATGTCACAACCTTTACAATGATAGCCTACATTTAGAAAAATAAACCACTCAAAATACAGATGATTTGCAGAATTTTTCTGTGTTGAAACATAGTGTAGAGATAAATACTGCCATCTAGTGGTCCACACGCACTTTTTATTTAAAGGTACAAAACCGAAGTCCAACCACAGGTGAACGTGATGCTAAATTCAGCGTTGTTTGATGAGTTTATGTTTCATTACCTGCCGTCTCATATTATTCTACTCTAACAATTAAAATCCAGTTTTTTCTTTTTTTTTTTTAACTTCCTGACGTTTTTATAATCTGTTTAAATTCAGTTTCACTTCATCACATTCTTTTATAAAATTCAGTTCCACCTGTTTTTTTACACGTTCAGTTCTATAGACCTTTTTAGTGTTCCTTCAAAAAGACATTTAAGTTTTTTGATTGTTTTTGAGAACAGCTGAAGAAGTTTTAATGTCTGTCTGAGTTATTTTCTTTCCTTCACTACCACAGGTTTCTTTCTGCCGACTTTCATAGTAACAGTATATTGGGTTGTTTTTCTGGTAACCAGCCTTGTAGCTTTGTAGATGTTGTTTAGAAATTGAAAGTTTGCTCATCTCGCTCTCCTGAGACACGGCTGTAATAATCCTGCTTTAATCAGCCGTCTGCGTCACGTTTACATTGATAAAGATCGTGTCAGTCTAAAACGTTCAGGTTCCACAGACTCACTTCTTCTTCCCTTTCTTAACTTCTGCAGAGCTCTCGGTCTCTCCTGACGCAGCCTCGCTGATCTTCTTCTTCTTCTTCATCTTGTCCTCTTTCTTCTTCAGCATCAGTCTCTTCTTCAGGCTGAGCTTCTTCCTCAGGCGGTGTCTCTTTTTGGCACTAGGCGGCAGAGAGGGAGTTTCATCTTCACAAGGAAAGAAAGGATGAAAAAGTCAAACATCTTCTCTGATTATCGATCAGATTAAAACTCCGAACACTGAAAACGTCTCAGCAGATTAATAACGAGAATTATGAGGATTCATGGATCTTAAATAAAGGAGAAAAGCAGAAAAGAAGGACGTGAATCTGACCTGGAGCTTCTGTCGTCTTTCCTGTGGCGTCGGCGCCCCCTGCTGGTTTCTCCTCAGACTGCACCTCCTCATTCTCCTGTGAGGACGCCTTTCTCTTCTTTTTCTTCTTCTTCTTCTTTGTTTTTGTTGTTGTTTCAGCCGGACTCACAGTACTCTCCACCTTTATCTCCTCCTCCTCTCTCTGCTCCTCTTCCTCTTCGTTCACTTTATTCTTTTTCTGCTGGATTTCATTTTCTGAAGGAGTGACGGCGGGTTCTTCTTCTTCTTTCTCTCTTTTCCTTTTCTTGGCCTTTTTCTTCTTCCCTGGAGAAGTCACCTGAGACATGTCCTCTTCCTTCTCCTCTTCCTCCTCTTTCTTCTGATCCTCCTCCACTATGTTTTTTTTCCTCTTTTTCTTCTTGTTGGTCGTGGCTGCAGCAGGAGTGTCAGGCATGGAGATATCTACAGTGGGAGTATCTACAGTGGGAGTATCTATAGTGGGAGTATCTACGGTGGAGATATCTACGGTGGATGTGTCCGTGTTGGATGTGTCCGTGCTCGTCGTGTCTGCTGACGGCGTTTCTGCGTCTTTCCCGTTCTTCTTCTTCTTCTTCTTCTTTTTAGGAGTTTTCACCTCCTCTGACCCTGATTGGACGGTTTCTCCCTCGGCTGCTTCACCGCCGTCCACTTGGATGTTGAGGACGATGGAAACATCTGGATCTGCTCCTTCCTCTGCAGCTGCTTCAGTCACTTTTCCTACAAACACAAACAGAATCACTGATTAGAGTTTTATTTCTACGTTTTAAAAAAGAACAGCGAGTCTTAGAGTAAAGAACAAACCTGGAGATTTTACTGTAATCGTCTTTACTGACGTCTGAATGAAGCAGAAATCCAAAAACACCGAGTCCGTCACTGAAGTGTGTGTTCAGGATAAACACGAGGAAAACTCTTCTTCATGTACAGCGTTCGTTTATTCTTCATTTTTGTTTTCTAAACTTTATCAGGCTCGTTTTGTTTCTTTAGTTTTTTACCTGAATCAGTGATGAGGAGGTCCGCAGCACCAACCTGCTCCTCTGTTTGCTCTTCAGGCTGATCTTCACCCTCCGTCTTCTGAGGACATGAATAAATTATTATCAGTGTGATTTAGTGTCACTACAGTCTGGATACTGATTCTCCTGACGCAGTCTAGACGAGTCTAAACCCGCACAGACATGTGGACAATAACCTGCAAGGAAGACAGAGGACTAAATGGGATCTTAATGGTTCCTGTGGTCCACTCTGGTCCAGAGATGGTATTCAGACAGGAAGTTACAAACACGGCTTTTTATTCGAGTCTCTGATGAACGATTAACCCTCACATACTGTTCAAATCCTGTACCCTCACAGTATGTTCCGGGTCAAAATTGCCCCGTCAAAGAGTTCAAAGAGCAGCTTTCTGTCACAGAAAGTTCTCTTGACTAGTTCGGTCATTTTGACCTCTGTCTCGGTGTGTCTGTGTGACTGTATGTCTGTGTGCGTGCGTGTGTGTGTGTGTTTCTGTCAAGGTAATGATAGTTTCATAATGATTTGAATATCTTTTTGAACAACAAACCTTATATTGAACACGGTTGTTACTGTTTGTCACTTGTCCCACACTGCTAGATCTAAAATCCATCTAAATAGATACGGGTCAAATTTGACCCATAACAGCCTTAGAGGGGAAAAATTTGTAGCACAAAAACAAAAATACACATGAATATTTTTAAATTAATTTCATGTATTTTGGGTTATAACAGGAAAAGTCATCAAGTTTCAGGCTTTAAGAATGACGCTTTACTGCTGTTAAAAGTCAAGACGGGTCACATTTTCCTGATCTGCTATCATCAGGTCTGTGTCGTCCCTGCGTCTTGTGTGTTTTAAGTCATTAAGCCCCGCCTCCAAAAGTTCCTGGGCCACTGAAAAGTTCTGCCCTCTGAGTGGGGGCTTTTCCAGACTAAATCTAGACCCCAGCTCCTGCAGTTCCACAGTAAAGGTCTCTAGAATCAAACAACCCAATTTAACAAACACATTCAGCGCCATGTTCACTTTTTTTTCACTTTCAGACTATCTGGTCGGTTAAAAATGTAATTAAGCTTCAAACCGCCTAAAAACGTGTCAGTCTGTCGAAACCTCTAACGATAAAAACTCCAAAACCTTTAGATTTTGTTCAGAAAGAAGAAAACAGAAACCCGAGAGTCTGACCCACAAAGACAGTCCCTCATGAGTGTTCATGGTCACCTTTGAGTCCTCCTCCTCCTCCTCCTCCTCCTCTTCATCCTTTAGGTTCTCCGAGTCTGAAAAAGATCAGAAACAGTCAGAATTTATCCACAAACTTCATCGTCTCAGTTTGAGACACGCCTGAAAACTTCTAATCAAAGTTTTCGATGAGCGTCTCCGTCTCTCAGCGTGTCAGTCAGAAGAAGTCGTTTCTTTATCTCGGTCTAATTAGTCGAACTCCTCAGTCTGTTTCTCAGCAGATATTTTGACTTGTCAGAGCAACAAAGACTCAGGCGTAACTAATTACTGATGGCGCCGATCCAGCAATTATTTCAGTGCAGTGCAGCGATTTGTGGAGTTATTAGTTTGACAAGTTGGAGTATGTGTCGGCTCATCAGAGTGATGGAGTTCAGAGACTTTGGTTCTTTCTTTTTAATCTAATATTCATCAAATTCAAAGTTCAGCTTCACTCAGACTTTAAAAATGTGATTTACACCTAAAAGAACGTCGTCAGAGGATCTCGAACATCTCTAAAAACATCCAGATGTGTCGGCTCCTCGATCATCTCCGACCTCTTTAGAGCAGCAGAGAGAAAACGAGGCGATTGTGTTTCTGAGGACTGAATGAAAGTCTCTGATCAGCCGTCGCTCCAGCTCTCTTAACAAGCTCTGACAAGCTTAACAAACCCCTCGGAGAAGTTAAACAAGTGACTGACGGAGTGGAAAACTGCTCCCGGCTCGGCTGCCAGGGCTGTTTCTCTGCTTTGGCAGCGATCCTTCAAACTCTTTACAACTTCAGCTGCCGAGGCCAAAGTCCTCCAGGTAACGAACGGGACATCTCCGTTTCCCTCCAACCTTTTTCTCCATGTATCGAAGGACGACGAGGGAAAAAGACTGGAAACACGATTTTTCCTCCCAGAGATAAAAATGGAGAATTTGGGGGAAACTACTCGACCCAGGTTTGTGTACGGGGTGAAATGAGAGGAGGGAACATGATTTCTAACATGTTCTTCTACCTGCAGCGTTGACCTGAGCACCTCCTGCTCCTCCTCTGATCATGTTATCACGATAAATCCAACTGTCCTCCTGCTCTTTCATCAGCAGATCTAAACCCGCTGAGAACCTCCCGTCCTCTTCACAGCCGCCTGTGATTTCTGTCAGCGCCGTGATGACGGGACAGAGAGGATGCCACACATAACATGTAAAGAACATCCTTGTTTTTCAGCAGGAGATTGGCTGTTCGTACCTGCAGGGGGCGGGGCTTCACCCTCCGCTGGCTGCTCATTGGTCTCCTGGGCTGTCAGGTCGGACGTAGGGGGCTCAGGCGGGCTCGGCTTCTGCAGGAGGAAGCAACAGGTCAACAGCGGCCTCCAGGAGCAGACCCAGAGAGCTCCTCTGATCCTTCTCTCTCTTTAACTCCTTTTTTTATGTGTTTTTAACTTTTTCAGAAACTTTCTCGTCCATAAAAACCAACAAAAGTCCTCTGAGCTCCGCGAATATAAGAACCAGAGACATTTGACTAACATGTTGTTTTAAATCAGAGTTCATATTGTTTATTCACTTTAAGGTTTGGGATTAAAAAAAAGGACATTTTCTGTGAGTGTTTAAATAAAAGGGTCAACGACGTGACGCCTTAATATTCTGTCCCGCTGTATTTTTCGTAAGTTCAAAAAGTTAAAATGCACAAAAATATATTATCTATATGTAGAATTTCTCTCATATATGTAGTCACTCCAACTTTTCAAAAATCAGGAGTTTTTTGTCATTTTTCTGAACTTCAAAGGTTCAAAATATCATGTGGTGCGACCATCCGGCCATGACTGCTGTTTTAAAACTTCTTTGAAATTACTTTAAATTTATTACAATTTAGTTTCTACAATATTTGACATGATTTAAATTGATTTTTAATTAAACAAGGTCTTCAGGTCATTCGGCGCGACCAATAATAACATTAATTGTATCAAATACAAACTAAAATATCTCATTTCTGTAACTGAGACATTAAAACCTGATACAATATGCTGAAGTGAAATGTAGTTTTAAAACAGTTTTATCAGTATTATGCAATTTAAAGAAAAAAATAGTCAGTGAACTACATTTGATATAGTGACTGTGACATTATAGAGCGAATATATAAGATCATTATTTACAAAAACTCAAATAAAATGCAAACGCTTTGTTCCTATGTTCTTGATATTACCGACAATCTGTAAAAAACTATTAAGTATGTTAAAAAAAATGTAATAATTTTGAGATAAATTAAGAAAAAAATTGCCTAATTTAAAAATTTAACATTAATTTTTTGTGTACAGAACATCCTCAGTGTTTGAACTGTTGGAAAATATATTCTTATTTTTGGTATTTTAAAGTTGGCATGTTGAAAAAACATGAACGGAGACTTCACCTCCGCTGTGCTGCCTTCCTCCTCCTCCTCCTCCTCTTCCTCCTCCTCCTGAGCAGAGGGAGGCGTCACATCTGTTTGATTGACAGCTGGATCATCTTTATCTTCTCCTTCCTGTTAAAAAAAGGATAAATATATAAAATAAAAAAGGATTACATCTTTAAATTGAGGTGTAGACTCTTTACATTAATGTATCTGTTTATTAATTTTTCCTGAAAGGTGAAATAAAAACAAAGAACCTACAACTATAATGTGACAAATTAAACACATTTTCAGACGTATTTATTCTCTAGAAAAACCTACAACTATAATGTGACAAATTAAACACATTTTCAGACGTTTTTTTTTTGTTGAGGATGCATGAGCAACAATAACCTGCTAAAGTCCACCTCTTCAAACCGAGTGAGAGCGAACCGAGCAAAGTCAAACTAACTTGACCTTTCAGGAGAAACTTCTGCGTGTGCTTGAGTTTCAAAAAGCTTCTCTGTAACTGAAACAACAGTAAATAAAGCTGTTAGGGAAGGATGGATGCTTGGTGCTTTTTAACTCATTAGGAAAAAACTTTTAAAAGGTACAAGAATCGTTTAGTTTTTGTTAACTTTGGCTGATGGAGGTCCACCGAGGTCGCCGTGTAGCGCTGTCGTGTTTCTGGAGAGGACAAACGAGCGACGGCCACATGTGTTTTTGTATTTAGTGAGTGGACGATGGAAACGCACCAGCTGGAAGTCAGAGAAGAAGAAGAAGACGACCAGAGGGTTGTTGTTGTTCTGTGCAGAAGCAGGAGTATTAACGGACGATTTTGATGGTCAAACTTGACGAATGGAATCAAATTAATCATGAATCGACACCTGACCACTAGATGATGCTAAAATTGTCTTTTTTTGTCCCTTAAAACTGAAAAAATCTTGTTCAAAAGTGTAAATGTAGGATTTTTAATATGACGTCTACATTTAGGTTCGAGTTTTAAGATGGCAAACCAACTTTTTCACACACTACAGACATTTAATTCATCAAACTCAGAGTTTTCTTCATGAGCGGACGAAAAGACGGGCTCAGCGTTTCTTCATGGAGGCTAAACAGCACAAACAACACGCAGCAGCCCCTAAAAAATGGGTTTCAGATGTGCAGAGCGAGCGCTGAAAGGACGGCTGCAGCGCCAGGAATCAGCAGCACTCCTGTTTTTATGAGCGGAGCTTTAAACTGATTTATACTCCGGTCCTTTTCAGAGGAATAACAGGGGACTGTATTTCACAGAGGGCTGATAAAAGTGAGATTTAGTGGCTGTAGTGTCGGACAAAGTGGGTCATAACTATTCAGATATGTTATAAATTATTAAAAAGGTAAATTTAGAAACATAATGTCGTTAAATCTCAGTGAGACTGATCTGATCAGACAGAGAAACTGTTAATCGACGTAAACTCAGGGACAGACCTTTACAGCAGACCGTAGTAGATCTGACAGAACCACATGGTTCAGGATCAGCCTCAGGTCACTAACCTGTTCTGGCTCATCGTCATCCTCCTCACGGGTCTCTACGGCGATCTGATCCTCAGCGTGATCGGAGGCAGCAGGTCCGGGGTCGACCCCGCTGCCGGGTTCGTCCACCTCCTTTGTGTCGGAGTCGGAGTTTTCTGCTTTGTTAGACGCCTCTGCGGACGCTTCAACAGGAGCCGACTGTAGGATATGAACAAAGAGGCAATTAGTACAGCTAACAGGATTTAATGGTGTGTTCCAACGACTTACTCTCCTTCAGCACGGGTCAGAACACCCCGGGTATCTGCTGGTGCTGAAGAACTCTCTGCATCCTGACTCTCCTGCTGCCAAAGTCACTTCTGTTTACAAGTCGGAGAAGTTTATTTATTATTAGAGGTGTCCTGATATTATTTTTCTTACTTCCAATACGATACCGATATTGTAGCCTTTAGTACTGACCGATACCGATATTGATCCGATATCAGCACAAGCTTTTGCATGGCATGTTTTTCACTCAGCTGCGACATCTTTTTCTGAGTTAAACAAAAATACTTCCACACTTCGACACCGGCGCTGTTCCCGAACGCAAATTTTTTTTTGTCGGATGGTAGAGGAAGGCCCCGCCCTCCTTTTGCCTCTGATTGGCTAGAAGTGCTGGTTCCGACTGGTTCTTCCTAATGGCTGTAAAACGTCATCTGTTGAGTTGGGTTAGGAGATTCAGGAGAGCCGACAGCCCACATTTGGCTTGAGAGTGTGATGTTCTTTTCAGCTTTTCTAGCCAATCAGAGGCGAAGGAGGCGGGACTTTCCCCTATCATGCTACCAAAAAAATATTGCTTCCCGGACCTTTTTTTTAAAGATGTCTCGGTTCCTCATTTTGCGACCGTCAATATACTTTAAAATGTCCATTTCTGTCTGAACAGGAAGAATAACGGCGCTCTCCTCCTCGTCGTTCCAAAATTGGACGTTCTTTCGTGTTTCAGCGATGTCGCAGTCGCTTCTGAGTCGAAAGTTCTTTAAACGATAGCGCCACTTCTTCTCTAGTGTTTTTGTTCCGGGATTACGGAGGCGTGGCGCACATGCATTGTCCGGTTATACTCCGCCTACGCTGGTTACATGGTAGAGAAAATGGAATTCCAATCTCATTATCTGGGAGTCTGAATCAGAGTTCTCTGACTCTGATTATAGTCTGTCTCAGATGTTTACATGACCTTCAGTTGTCCGGTCTTAATCGGAATAAGGCGATAATTCGGTTTTCTTGAGTGTCATGTAAACAGACTGACTGATGTCGTGGTTATGTGGACTCTGCATACGGGATCTGGGCGCTGCTAGAAAGAGGAACTGGAGCGGATTCTGGAATGGACTGTTTGAATCTGAGATTTTAGATGCAGGCCGATATAATCTGATATCAGTTTTATTTTCCTGATATTGGACCGATATCTGATATCAATATTGGATCAGGACATCGGAGTTATTGTTAAAGGAACCCTCACAGTGTTGGATTAACGTCGCCATATTTTCGATGTCTGCAGTACGAAAGAAACTGAAGATATGGATATTTCGAGCTCTGGTTGCTGCGTTCGTCCGCTGAACTTCGCCCACATGAGTGACGATGTGGAAGTGAATCTCCGACACTGAAGAACGATGAGAAAGTGTTCCTGATGTAATGCATGATCTATGTCTCCACATGTTTTAATAACAGCAGCAGGAGATGAAACAGGCGTCTCACAGCTG